ATTTTCCCAATAGGAAATCCACCAAACATGGGGAATCTATAGTGAAGATGTTTTATTTTGGGGGGACCCCTTAAGAAAATCCTTGACTATGGTAACATTGGAGAGTCTCCAATAGCTATCCAGATGACTGTGTCAAAGCATGTTTTGACATGTTTCGACCATCCAAACGGTTATACAACAGAATCATCCGCGGTTTCAAGTAGCTTTTCTTATGACGCGAGTCATCCAAATAGGTTCAGGTTTATGCAAAAGTCCCCAAAAGAATAATGTTTTCGATTTTATGATTATAGAAGTCAGAATGTGAAGTTACCCTTTGGTAAACTAACAGTTTGCTATTGAAAATGGCCCAGTCGAAATAGTGAGTTTTCCCATTAAACATGGTGATTTTCCATAGCTATTTTGACATAACCAGAGGGTAAATCTCCATTTTCCTATGGTTTTCCTATGGTTTTCCTCTGGTAATCCACCATTTGTCTTTTTTCTCCAAACGTTGGAGTTCAATCCCCCAGTGAAAAAAAACATCAAAAAGCACAAAAATTCTGGCCACGGAACTGGCCCATCTTTTCCCCGGACTGGTGATCCGATTGTTCAATGGATCTGGGGAGAAGCTACCCTCTGGTTATGACTAACATAGGAAAACCATAGGAAAACCATGGGAAAACCATAGGATTAAAACCATAGGAAAATGGAGGTTTACTGTACCCTCTGGTTATGACTAACAGGGCTAGCCATGGGATTTCGATGGCCCTAATCGAAATAGATGGTTTACCGTTCTTAAAAATGGTGGATCTTTCCATGGCAAACTGTTAGTCATAACCAGATGGTAATTCGTTTGATCCAGATCATATTTCAGAGATATTCCCATCTGGTTGGTGGTTTCAAACGTGGCTTTTATTTTCCATAAGATATGGGATAATCCTACCCATTGACTTTCATATTTTTCAAGATGGTTTTTTAGCCAGTCATCATACCCCACTTTTTTTCCCAAGTCTAATGAAATAATTCCCATGATATGTTCCGGTCGATGGGCTGGGAGGAGCGGTTGAATCTTCAGCATTGCTTGGTATACAATGTGTTTTTTTAGTATCTGGGTATTGTATGGTCGCCCAGCATGAGATGGAAAATGGATGGTCAAATGCTAATTGAGCACAGCATTCGAAAGGATTCGAGCCCCTTTTAAAGAGATAGAAAATGGATGGTCACATGCTAATTGATCATGTTTCATGTCAGGATTCGAAGCTGTCTTCTATCTGTTTTGGCCTTGCTGCCTCTATGTGCTAACGTTAATGTTTTTGCTGAGAAGTGACCCATAAGGATGACCAACCAGGCGGTTCCATCGCTATCCCAGAGATCCAAAGTGGTCACAACAGCACGTTTGATTTCATTGTTTGGATGAAAACTCATGGGAGATTCTGGAATTCTGGTTATGGCTGACAGTTCGCCATGGAAAATAACCCATTTATATCCATAGAAATAGATGGTTTACCTATTAAAAATGGTGGATCTTCCCATGGCCATATGGGATTCTGTCGATTTTGTCAAATGGGCCATATGGGACTTGGTCAAAATTCTCGATATGTTCTGATAAAAGGGAATGGGCATCAATCTGTTAGGGAATCATAGAGATTCATCATGATTCAAATAGCCATTGTAAGGATTCCCATGGCATGGGATGGATGACTCTACCCCATGTACCATTTGTTTCGCCCTGGCACTTATGGGGCTTGAGGATATATGATTGGAAGGAATCCCAAGATGATGCCTGCGATCAACCCTTTTTTTCTTTCAATATCATACCCATAGGATCCATGTATGCTATATATGGTAACATTTACCATCAATATACCCCAAATGTTAGCATATATTCCATACATGGATCCTATGGGTATATAATATGATTGTAAACAAAATGAGAAACCCTTTTTGAGGTTTTGATGCCCTTTTTATGGAGGAATTGGGCAGCAGGTATGGTAAAAATGACATTGGTTAAACCACCATTGCACCATGACATGGGAAGCCATGAATTCATCAAGTTCCATGGTTTTTCCCCGTTAAAAACCCACAATTTTTGGTTATTCCTGATTTTTGGTTGCTGGAAGGTACTGACTTGCGCCCTTTTGAAAACACCCTGGCCGATTCCAGCCCTTCGACTGAGGTGTTCCTCGACCATGCGAAAGGCTTCGGGATGCAACGTTTTTATCGTGTGTGTGTGTTGATTACTCATGGCATGACATGGATGACATGGATGTATCATGATGTACTAATAATTACTGATATGATTCTAAGATGTTTGTTCATGGATTACCACATGAATGACAATCCAATGAATTTGTTTCTTCCTACCTTTTTTGAAGCTTGGAAATAGGATCACTGGTGTTATTGCCCTCACATCTGCTGTGCGAGAGTCCATTTGTATATCTCCATGGTTGGGTTCCTCTAAATTTGGTTATGTTTGGGTCGTTACGGGTCAGTGTCAAAATTGATAACATCAAAATGGTTTCATACTGAGAGTAGCCGGAATATCTGGTTCGGGGGTGCTTCATTTTGAACGTACCCATTTCAAGTTTGACATGAGTTTGTTTCAAAGTACATACCCAAGAGTTCATGTTTGATCATGATTGATCATCATTTTCCCCCTGAAACTTGCCACTTGGAGGCATCCCCCTTCTAAAGAAACCCAGATCTTTCGTTTGGGATCAAAACAGGCTTTGCGTTGTGTAGCTCATCGTAGCGAGCAACGAGGTCGATGATGGCAGAATACGGGGTCTGGCTAATACGGCTGGAGTTCTGAGAGGGCAACGGAATCCATCAAAAGCAGCCTCAGAAGGGATTTGGGTGTGCAGTTACGACATTTTGGGTACCCCAATAGCTGGTTGGTCTATACATGTTTATACTGGGAAAGCCCAAGCTAAAATGGATGGAAAAAAATGGGTACCCCCATTTTAGGAAACAAACAATGGTGGAATCCAATATGCAAAGGTGAGATTCATGGTGTTTCAGACATCAACAGTAGGGATTTAACCTTCATGAAAAGTGGAAACCGGGGGAAATTGTGATTCATCGATAAATTTAGGGTTGTTAGGGTTGCTCTATCTTCAGGAAAAAAAACTGTGATGATTGATTTCGCAGAAGTGTCTTTTGATGTTCTTCTGTGAACCGCATAGAAAAAAGTTGTGTTCGAGCTGATCGAATCACCAGCCATCGCAGGAACCGATTGATTGGAGGTACCTACCATTATATATCCATAAAATTCCATAAATATAAGGCCTACTTTTTAGGTCTAAATTTCAGGGAATATCCCCAGAAAATATAGAAAGAAACTATGGTACGTTGTTAGTACCTCCATGTATTGGATCCTGAAGATCTCCCATTTTTCACGCTATGAGTGCCATGCAGTTCATCTCTTCGGGGCGCGAAAAACCCAAAAACCCGTGTGGATTCCCACAGGTTTCACCCCCCGCCTTGCCGTGCGAGTGGGGGTTTCCAAAGATCGGACAGACCCGTAGTAATAGTTATTATAGTGGAAACAAGGCAGTTGCTGCAGGGCTGGGAGGTGACCCAGGTGACCATGAATTTAAGATCATTGAAGTAGATGACCCTGAGGTTTTTGAATCTGGATATACCATGGTGTTTTATCTATCATTGATCACAATAAATACCAGAATCACCAATAGGCACACAATGCCACTTGGGTGTAACTTAACATTCCCAATTTTCAGCGCAGACCCAGTAAACCTGAAAAGAGTTGGGACCGGACCATGACTGATTGGGGAAATCGAGTGGCGATCATTTTGCCGGCTTTGTGAAGAAGGGTTGATACTGTATATACCAAACAAAAATGCCATGTTAGTGTGGAGAGTTGTGAGGTTTGGTTTGTTTTGGAGAAACACCCCACTAACCAAGTATGGCGTGATCCATAGCTGAGTAAACCTTGGATACTATGGATACGTTCATACTTTAATCTTTGGCTACAAATCTATATCATGATTGCATATGATTGCATGTGAAATTATATATATATAGCTATATAATATATATATATATAATATATATTATATATATATATTATATTATATATATATTATATATATATTATATATATATTATATATATATTATATATATATATTATATATATTATATATATATATTTGCATACTGGCCAGCTATTGAACATGATTCCTCGGTGTCATCGAAATCGGAATCCGGGGAATCCTCGGTGAATCCCCGGGCAAGTGGTGATTAATGGGGATGAATGGGGATTAATGGGAAAATATAGTGGTATCATTTGGGAGATTATGGGTGTAGTATGGGATATAATGGAATATATCTGGGTAGATTTGATCACGACCGAACTCTGTTCTCCCGAAGCCTGGTTCATCATGGTTAATAAGGGAAATCATCCCCTTTTATGGCCGAACTCTTCAGGTTAGTATATTATCGTTTACCCAGATGTGTCATATTTTTGTGAGTTAGGCAAATGACTTTGATCTGCGAAACTTGAACAACCTCTAGCTACGGAAATCTGAACACCCAAACTCATTGGGCTCAAGCTGGTGCAAAATCAGCTGCAAAAACGAGCCAAAGACCCTGACAGCAAGTGGTTGGGGAGGGAATAGCCAGTGGTTGGGGAATGGTTTGTACCTACCATTCGGGGATGGTTTATACTTGTACCATCTTATACCAACCACAGTCATATTGGGGGTGGTTTACAGTTGGATTTAACACATTATGCTTGTTCTTTCCTTTCTTGCCGTAGATGTTACAGCTTTAAAATGGATACACTTAGCAGCTATGCCAGTGTACAACTTGCTTCAAGGCTTGGCTTGGGTTGAAGACTTCAATATCCTTGAGCGATGAATACTTATATAAATATATTTGACATATATATATAGTATAACTATATATACTATCATTGTGTACTGCAATGTCATATATATATACACTTGTTAATCATAGATGTTACCTTTGCTTACGTTTGAAATTGTAGGATGTTGATTGAAATCCCAAGCTTCACCAGCCATGGATTCTGACCGCTGATGGTCTCATTCTCAGTGGCAAGTTCACTGCAGCAGCTGGAAAGGTCAACAGAGATCACTGGAAAAAAATCATAAAAAATCAAAAGATCCGGAGAAGATTTTGGTTTGCCCTCTGGTAAACTAACATTTTGCTATGGAAAATGACCATTTTTAATGGGAAAACTCACTATTTCTATGGTCATTTTCAATAGCTACGTTAAATTACCAGAGGGTATGTTGCGGGAATCTCACTTTTCTGCGATCTTTTGTCAGTGAAACTCGTACCCCGGAAGTTGTTCCTCCGGTTGCCGTTGTCTTGTGTCAAGCAGCTGGTCGCATCTCGTATTTGAGGCGCCAAAGAAACGGAAGCTGCCTGCTAAGCGTGCAAGGTGGGGATAAGTAGAGCTCAATTTGGGACAAATTTGCAGATGGAAGCAACAAAACTGGTGGGAGGCATCAGATTGCTTTTTCTATCCATGAGATGAATTTATATCTTTGCACTTTTTTATTGGGATTGGATTAATCCCTCAACTGATCGCAAGATGCATGAAAATGCGAGGTTGACAGGTCATTGAACGAATGGAAATTGGGATCTCCACGACTTAGCTCTTCGTCATTTTTGCGTGTTACACCCAAGTCTAGTGCACTCACTGGTCGTAAAAAAAGGACCCCTGCGCGTGTCATAAATGCATATAAATGCCCTAGTGGATATCCATAGAATCTAGAATTTTAGAGACGTTTTTCTCCATTTATTGAACGTTGGGATTATCAATTACCATGTTTGATTCTCAGAGAGTGTACCTTGCAAATTGGATACTACTGGTGCATGAAGGGTCCAGGATTAGCTGCTACAGAGTCACTGGGCAAAGTGGCAGATGTATATATATAATATATATATACAGTGTTTGATCCTTCAAATGGAGGCACTTGACTTTGAGTTATTAAGTTATGCTTCCATGTTTACCCGGCCCAGAGATCCATGAACATCCATGGTTTATATCAAGCTTCGTCCAAGCCCAAAAGTGTCCAATTCAGTCCATGTTACAGCTCCAACCCATTGCATGTAGATGATAGCCATCTGCAAGGTGAGCCCCAGTTCTAAGTTGGTTTCTACACCCCATCAACGATAGTTATATAATGTTATTACAAAATATTACCAACTAGTTTATTACTATAGTTAAAGTATTACCAACTATAGTTGCTTTATTACTGTAGTTACTTACTTTGCAATAAACCGGTCAGTTATACATAAAAGTTATGTGCGTCCACTTTAGCTATCATAAACGGGGGCCCGACCAGTGAAACCTCCATAAAGACTTCAGGGATTTCTCAGCTAGCCATGTCTGAGTCCCGGAGGATGTCCTAGTTATACAATGTTATGACATAGATTATATGGATGTGGGTCAAAATGGAAGACCTAGGGGACCACAGATGTGAATGTCTAGTTTAGTATTAACCATCCATAATTTTGGGGTACCTAATTTTGACCCATACCCATATGGCTCAAAAAGATGCTTATAGCTTATATTAATGGTTACTAACCTGGAGGTTTCCTAAGTCATGGGGCTACCCAAACCGTCCAAGTCTGTCATAAATCAGAGCGAAGTCAGTTTTTTATGGTCCACTTACCCGGCCTGGTAAACGTTTACATTTTGCGAACTGGAAAGATCCACCATTTTCAATGGGAAAATCCACTATTTCTATGGGCCATTGAAAATAGCAAACTGTTAAATTACCAGAGGGTAAATCCCAATGTTTCACCATATTTTGGCTGCTTCAACCCCCATGTGTTGCCTTGAAGAAAACCAACCCAGGACCCAGCGTGTCGTGGAGCGTGACGTCCTCACCGGCGAGGCTCCGACCTTCGTAAGGCACGCCTTCCCATCAAAAATGGTGGAAAAATGGGCGATTTCTATGGGTAAATTTGATCACGACCTCAGTGTTCTCCCGAAGCCTGGAATCATGGTTAGTAAGGGAAATCAGCCCCTTTTATGGCCCAACATTTCAGGTTAATGAATTAGTACAATTTACCCAGAATGGTGGATTTCTGTGGATTGAGCCAGCAAAAATATGCAAACATGCTGGAGAAATTGGGATTTCATGATGGGTTGAATGATGGATTTCATGTACTTTTAACCGTGAAAAACATGTTTTTTGCGGAGCGAAGAGGAGATAAAACAAAAAACAAAACGAATATCATGGTGGGATGAAAACACCCCCCAGCCAGGTGACCCCCCGACAAATGACAAGAATACGAGTGACAGTTAACAAATAATAATCATATTAACAACAGTAGTTATTGATTAACAATAGTTATTAACAGTAGTTATTGTGATTAACTATTGATCAATACTATTAATTATAAAAAAATAATATACTATAGTAGTACTCATAGTGTTTTTCTATAGTGATACGAATGATAACAATATGAGTGGTCGGATGCACCGTTAAATGGATGTGGCAGGTCTTCCGATGGTCCCCTGGTCCAGACTTCTCTTCGGCAGGTCTTGCAATGCAGCTGGGGAGAGGATTTGTGGTGTCCTTTCCTCAGGGGCCATTGGATCTGCTGCTGTGAGTTACCGTGGCAGTTCATGGTCTATCTGAAAAATCGCAGGGATGTTTCATCATTTTAGTATACGGAGGAGTATTATATATATCATTATTATATATATATAATTATATATATGTGTGTGTGAGACTATGTATATATTTCTACATATTTATTAAATATTCAATCGTGGGGCAAAGCACATTTGACCCGGAGCCATGTTTTTTGTTGCGCACGTCGAAGCCTGCTCGTACGTAGCTCGGTCTCCGCAACCAAGGTTAAGAGACCCTTCCAATGGGTCTCTGTTACCATTGGGGATTTTGATCCATAGCCATTTCAAGAGATTTTTTGCCATGGAATCAATTGGAAATCCAGGATCCCACAATGGAGGTACTGTACCATATAAGGCAATATTTTGGGTGTATATCCCCTTACATAGCCCTTACATAGGCCTTAAAAAAATGGTATATAGGTACCTCCAATGAATCGGTTCCTGTTGCATGGCCATTGATGGAAATTCAAATGGATGTGGAAAAGCCATGGTAAAAACCATGGTGTCTCAGGGACGGTGATCCTGGGTTTTCCACATCTTTGTTCATTTACAGGAGGGAAAACAACTGCAAGACCTGTGGGTCCCTTGCCATGCTGATCTGGTTCGCACTGAGGCTTGTTTGCTGCCTCTGGAGCCGGACGACAAGGCACCGGGGTGAAATTTCTCGTCGAATCCTCACGGGAAATTCCCATCAGTGGGGTAATGCCAATTAAACACCTACTATTTAGATCCAGTTTGGATGGTTTATACATGTATTTATACCACTGATTTCTGGTGAACTTGGAGATGTTCCTTAAGTTTACCACATGATTCCTGGTTCTATCACCATTTCCTGGTTCTATCACTGAATCTCTTCAGAACCTGGAATTGTGATTTGCTGTATCTCAGCTTTCCGAAGTGGCTGCTTGGTATGCTAGCTGTCTCGCAGTTGCTTCCATTAAAAAAACCACATAAAAATGATGTCAATGGTTACCTGGTGATCTGGGCTGGTCGGAATTCTGGGAGTGATCACATTTTGGGGGTCATGTTCGTCCCCATTGGCTGACAGTTTCTTGGCGTCAGTTTGTAAGCAAAGGGGGGAAAAACCCTAAACCCCTCCTTGCTTGTCATATATGAAAACAGTGAGTTTATCAACATTTACTCCCAAAAATAGTTCCTTTGGGGAAAAAATACATGCATGGATTATAATGTGGTTTTTATACACTTGGATGTTAATCCAAGTATTGCCTGAAAAATCCTGAAACTCCTTCCAGTTTGATGGTTAGTCATCACCAATACCACTTTCAAACAGAGCCACTTCCCAAGCTGGTGGGATGATTCATCACCATGATCCCCAGTTAGTACCCAAACCATTGCAGGTCGCTTATTTGATCACCAACAGACCCCAACAGTTAAGCCTACCAGCTGGGTGCAAAATGTCAAGTTGACAAAAACACATCTTGGAACTAGCCTAACTATGGTTTATGGTAGTTATAGTTGATGGGCTTTCTAAACCATTATAAACCATTAGAATCTATATGTATATATATAAACCATGATAAACCATTAGAATCTATATAAACTATGGAAAATCACCATTTTCAATGGGTAAATCCACTATAAATCACCAGTTTCAATAGCTATTTAGGTGATAAACCAACGTTCACATCACTTCCCCACCTGGTCACTGGGATTTTTCGAAAGATCAGGTGGGAGCCACCGACAATTGCACGCACATTTTCCACTACGAGTGTGTCGCGTTGCCCCAGCGATTTTTTGCGTCGAAAAAAAAATGCCCTTTTGGGCTGAAAATGGTATAATGATAAATATAATTATATATATGTATATTAAGAACCATTCAAATCATCACTTGAACTGATGTATATATATATACATATGATGTATAATAATATATATACATGTATATGATTAATTAATCCATTTGGAGGACACCATTTTTAATGCTTGCAAAACAAACGGCCGATCCCAGATGGAATTTCGATTTTTCATCGGAAAAATGTTTTTTTGGGATGTGGCTTTGAAGCACCCTAAAATTAGGGAACTGGAACCAGGGTTCCTAAGATTTTTGCCATTGGAAAATTCGGAAAAGATAAGCTTTTTCCCCCCAACAACAATTGAATTTTGCAATTTGTATGAGTTGAGAACTCTCGATTGGGCACCTTCAATACCCAAAACAAAATCTGTCAAAGCCAAGCTGCTTAGAGCCGGGGGCACAGAGGTCGAGAAATGGTCGCAGACAGAGAACAGCTGTCCACAATGCAAAGTGCGTTTCTTCTGGATGGCTGGGGGGCTCAGCTGGGAAAGGGATAGCGAAGAGCCAGGGCCATGGCTTGAAGAAAAAAGAAGATAAAGAGGTATGCCAAAGGGTTTCAATACCATGCCATTCACTGGAGATCGAACATAAGATCCCCTGCCCACGGAACTATATTGTTTTCTGAAACTGATTTTGTTGTTTTGTTTCGGGGCCCAAGAAACTCTGCAGCCATGTCAAAGTTGACTTCACGCCAATGACGTAGGCTGCTCTGACGAAAAATGAAAGCCCTGGGGTTCCCCAAAAAAATCCAACAATGATTTCCACCAGCATTGAGTGAGCCATCCAGGTATGTACCAATGAAGCTACTCTGCGATGTTCGGTGATCAAGAGCCATATTTTATTGGGGTGACCTTCACATCTACAGTAGATATCTGTAGATGTGCCGGCCTAAATACATTGATATACATCCAATTTGGGTATGGATCCAAATTTCGGTTTCCGAGAATTCATGATCAGTACAGTTCATACTCAACAAAGATGTAAAATATTGTAAAATACCCGTATTCAAACATTGCCAAAATCCAAAAGTCCACGAGATGTTTCGATGATTTCCCCTTCGTAAAAGACCGTGTTATGTCTGACGGCAGGATGTTAGATCACCAAGTTGATCCCCATCTAACAGTAGGGTTTTTAGGTATCCATAGGTATCCCATAATGTTGGATACCTATGGATACCTAAAATCCTGAAGAATCCGTTACTTCCATAGGAATTCTAGGTATCCCATAACCCATGACGGATCCATGACGGATCCGGCTGGTGCTGCTATATATGGTGTGCCATGAATTAATATGAATCCCATCCAGATTAACCCCAGTCATGTTAGCAATAACCCATAGGATCCATGTATATCCATGTATGCTATATATGGTTACATGAATCCCATCCATATACCCCAAATGTATCCAAATGTTAGCATATATATACCAGCACCATGGATCCGTCATGGGGCCCATGACCCCGGAAGTGACTGACCCAACCGCTTCGTGTTGATCTCAGGCTGCCTATGGCTCGAACCACCAGAGACAGTCCTTGATGAAAGTGGAGAGCTGGGAGCTGAGAAAACGCGGAAGAAAAAGTGCTGGTTACTGCTGGTTACCCACTGGTAAACATACAAAAAGCTATTGAAAATGGCCATAGAAATAGTGAGTTTACCCATGAAAAATGGTGGATCTTTCCATAGTTATGTTAAATTACCAGAGGGTAATAGATGTTAATAGTGGTTAATAGATGGCCACTTGGGGGCATCATTCATCATGGGACTTCCTGGGACCCAGTTGGAAGATGAGAAAATAACTGGGATGTAACTGGCATTGGGAGGAAAAAATCCCTTCGTTCCCCACATTGTAGATGGTGCTCATTCTTGTTTTTATATTGTGTTATATGGTTTCATATGATTTATATGGTTTTATAATTTTATATATGCATGTTATATAGTTGGTTGTGTGAGCCTTAATTACATTTAATTACACAACGAATCGTTGAAAACTCAAGTTTTGCTCAGCTATAAATGGATTAGTTCTACGCCGATACCATCCCTGAATCCATGAGGAAAGTGATCTTCCGACCACCACAACTGGCTGACCATGATCTGCCGCAAACAGACTCGAAAAAAATCGGGTGGTTAGTCCAAATGTGGTTGCTACACCCAATAAAAATCACCATATTTTTTTGGGGGGGAAACAACTTGTTTAACCAATGAGTCTTCTACCTCATTTTTAATAAAACCCATGTTTATTTTTGTCAAATCACTTGGGGAGAGCTGAGATTTTTGTATGGATCAAACTTGGGGCACCAAACTAGAACAGCTGGACACCTGGAAAAGATGTGGGAAACATCATCTATATTAGTACCATCCTGGAAACACGCTGAAAAACCATCTATTTTGGGGGTTTACTATTATAGTTATATATATATATATTATTTAGTATCACTGCAACATGTTAAAGCATCCGTGTATGGTGAATGTTGACCCATACCCAGCCATTGCAGTGACCTGCACACTCCACTTTCACGGAGTCGCTGATGCGACTTAGGTAAAGATCAGGAAGAGCAGGACGACCAATGTCCTCGAACTTGGTTGATGGAAGGGCAAAGTCCACGACTCGCTGATTCCTTATTCTAGATATTTTATATAGGTGGTTTATCAATGTTTATCAGATTTAATGATTCATCAAAATCTATGCATCAATCCCCTAAACTTTTCTCTAAACATTGATGTTTGATGATGAATTTTCACCACCAATTGACAATAAGAAGATGAAACCGGTGTGGTTTTTCACCATGGATCACGAGAGTTCCGTTGCTAGGGGGTTTTGCTCTCGTTGTTGCTTGCCATCAAAGGTTGGACAGTGGTTTGCTTAGTCGTTTTGGTTGGTGATATCTTGTAATTTTTGGGATGAAACCACTTACCAAACGTGGCTTGCTGGACAATCCCAAATGTAGATCCGACTATAGATATCCCACTATAGATCCATAAATATAGATATCATTAGATATCTATAGATCCATTTATGGATGATTTTCCCACTAAAAAGAATTGCAATTAGATATCTATAGCCTCGGTTCATGGGGATTTCCCACCGGATTTCCCGTTTCCCGAGCCCGAAAAATGGGATGGGTTTTTCAGGAAGAGGAGGAGTTTGAAGAAGTCTCCATTTGTGAAAAATGCAAAGAGGCGCGAAGAGTGAGTGAGTTTTCGCCATGCGAAAACTCACAAAAAAGAGTGAGATATAATGAAAAAAAACATGGTTATATGAATATAGGAGGCACCATAAATATAGGAGGCACCATGAATATAGGAGGCACCATGAATATATTAGGCACCATCCCATGCAAATGAGAGAGAGAGAGAGAAGCTGCAATCTGTTGAGAAGAAAACGATGTTTAACGCCAACAACATTCGGAAACGCCGCCAAAAAAAAAGTTTCGATGGGCCACTCAGCCATCAGCCATGGCTGTAGTAAGCATCAGCTCGTCAGGTGGGAGATGAAGCGAAGCTTCTTCTTTGCGATGGAATGCATGGCACTTGTACAGAACTCAGACTTGGCTCAGACTTAGTGATCTAGATATGTCATGATATGTCTAGATCTCAAAGATTATCGATTACACTCTGGTTATTTAACAGCCATGGTATAGATGGCCCATTTAGTTCGATGGTTTACCTATCAAAAATAGTGGATCTTTCCATGGCGAACTGTTAGTCATAACCAGATGGTACATGAAATTGGGCCCAAACATATTCAAAGAATTTCAAAGACTCAAAAAAGGTGGGATCACTCATGATGCAGCACGCTACGGCTCGGTCTGGGAATCCCCGAGCGCTTCGAGAACGCTCTTGGTGGGAAATTCACCAAAAAAAATAGAGAAAAATGGTGGGAAACTCCTGCATTGTTGTGGTTGTTTCCCTAACATGGCCATGTTCAGTTGGGAAAAAAAAACATCCAAAGCCGTTTGGGTTCAAGTCAATTCACCATGGTAATCCAAAAAAATCATGGTCCCAGAATCTGTTGAAGGAGATGAGGAAAAAATAGAAAAAAGAAAAGCAGGAAAACCCATGGACATCTATCTGTCCATTTGCAAATACCCACATGGTTTGCAAATCTGCATTTCTGCATTTTTGGGAAGTCCACCCGTGAAATCAGGTGGTTTCCCCTGAAATTGGTCATGTTTTTTTCAAACATCCTAAACTGCAATTCCTGTTCAGGACGATGATAAACCTAGCCTGTTCTTGGATATTCTTGACTACTGTACTACATTATCAAGAGAAATAGCATGCTTATTATATACTTGTCATTTTAAGATTTCAAGATATTTCCAGTTCTCAAAGTCCAGATTTCTGGATATTAATGTGTGGTTGATTCTTTTCTGGTATCCGTACTTTATAGGCTATCATGATGACTCACTACTGCATCATCTTCAGCGGAATCGCAGGTAATGCCACCTTTCACTACACTTGTGTTGGGCTGAGCGGAGTGTCGGGATGCTCAACGGCTCGTCGTTCAGAGCTTTCGCCTGTCAGTGGCTGTCACCGGATCACAACTTTTGAAGATTCCAGTACAACAAGATCATATCTATATATACATGTATATATATATATGTATATATGTATCTATATAATATTATATATACATATATGTATATATATGTAGTTCCTTCTGAAAAAAAGAAATGCGCAACTGGAATGCGCATGTCCAGTTGCCCACGATCAAACTGCATCTCTTTGTGAGCACGGCAGTTTCTTTTTTCGTCTTGTGGGATTACAACATGTTACAACCCCACTTCTACATCTTCTGGGCTTTCGAAGTTGTTAACCCCATTTGATTTCCTTTTTCCATGAGTTGGCTGTGGATAATCACCATGCGCAGGCAAATCCGATAAAAAATGGGCCATGTTCCATAGCAAACTGTTCGTTGACGGAGTTTACTGGAGGGTAAACCATCGTTCACATCCCCATGAAATCTTGAATCCCCATTAGATCCGTTAGATCCCCATGAAATTCCATTAGTCATCCCAATTTTCCCTGGTCAAACCATAGTAAGCATTGAGAATGACTGGAACTTCATGGGAATACTAGTAATGGTTATATATAGAGATATATCCCATAGTTACTCTCCATAGTCATCCCATCTATCAGTTATAGAGATACCCTCTGGTTATTTAACATAGCCATGGAAAGATCCACCATTTTTAATAGGTAAACCATCGAACTAAATGGGCCATCTATACCATGGCTATGTTAAATAACCAGAGGGTATCTCAATATAACCATCATTAACCATCATTATATAACCATTATTAACCATTCATCATCATTAACCAATATTAACAATTATCTACCAAAATTTTGATCTAAAACACTGAACAGACACCTCGACGTAGGCCACGTGGCTCTTGGTTTTGTCCCGACTGCATGGAGCGGGGCTTTGACATCGACGCACGAGGCGGCGCGTTTTTGTGGGTGCGGTTTTTTGGACGGGGAAAACTGTTTTTTTTCGGGAAAAAGGTGAAACGAGATAGGTTAGTACCTGCAATTTGGCATACTTAGGACTTAGGATTACTTAGGTACGAAATGTCCCACCAGTATATCTGGA